AATTTGACTGCAGCTAACGGTTCTTCCATTAAAACTTATGGTACAAAACTTTTAAAAATTGATCTAGGTTTAAGACGCGATTTTGAATTCGCTTTCATATTAGCGGATATTTCAACACCAATCATAGGCGCTAATTTTTTAGAGAAATTTGGTATATAAGTTGATATTAAAAATAGAGAAATTACTGATTCAACAACAAAATTGAAAGTTTCTGGATCATCTGGTTTTTGCGATATATTTTCAATAAGGATACCAATTTCTGAAAATACATTTACTTGTGAACCAGATTACACTAAACCAGTGCAACACCAAACGGTTCACGGAATCGAAACAAAAGGAGTGCTACCGTTCTCTAAACATCGTGGTCTTGATCCAATTAATTTTTTAGTTAAAACAGGTATATGTAGACCTTCACACTCTCACATTGCATCTCCTTTACATTTAGTTTCTAAAAAAGAACCAAATGATTGGAGACCTTGTGGAGATTACAGAAGACTTAATTGCATTACTATTCCAGATCGTTATCCGTTACCTCACATTCATGATTTGACTATTGATTTAAAGAACAAACAAATATTTTCAAAAATTGACCTTGTTCGTGCATATTACCAAATAGTACACAAACATTCAACGTTTTATTAACGAAGTATTTTCAGGTTGAGAATTTGTATTTGTCTATATCGACGATATTCTCTTTGCAAGTGATAATGAAGATCAACATATTGAGCACCTAAAATCTGTATTTAAAAGACTTGAAAAATATAGCTTGAATATTAAAGCTAGTAAATGCATTTTTGGAGCAAGTAAATTGGATTTTCCAAGTTATGAAATTTCAAGTGAAGGAATCAGACCTTTTGTCGAACGAGTTGAAGTAAATTTTGAAAAACCTCTTTCAATAAATAAATTACAAAAATTTTTGAGCGTGGTTAATTATTACCATAGATACGTTAAATGGTTAGCAGCAGAACTTAGTCCTATGCACGAAGTGTTAACATTAGCATCTAAAAATAAGCTTAAACAATTAAATTGGACAGAAAATACAACTATGGATTTTGAAAATGTGAAGAAACTTTTAACACGGAAGACTTTACTCACTCAGTTTGATAAAAATGGTAATTTAAAGAATGGGCAAGAAAAATTTTGGTCAGCCGAAAATCATTATAACAACTTATTATACAACCTACGAAAAGAGTTTTCTGCTTTATTATCTTCTTTATTAAGCTTACTATATTAAACAAAAAACTTATTTCAATTATCTTCATTATAAACAAAATGGCGCAATTTACACTTGAGCCCTCTCATTAGGATATGGACATCCATTATTGTGACGATATCTGCTTCGCTCTGCCAAGTAATTTTGAAATTCTGATAATTTTTGATCTCTTCTTTCGTTTTTATCTATTTTTCAATAATTTGCAATGGGTCGCAATTCTGGACAGTTTGGTAGGTTGTGGTCCTTTTGAACAATATATACCTCGTGACTGACATACCAGTTCATGCCAAAGGGGCTGTAATGGCACAATGCTAAATCAGGACAGAACAGAACTGAGCCTTTATGTTGCTTTATGAACGACAGCAAACGATATTGCAAACACTCCTTCATTCAAATTTCTTGATTTATGGAGCCCGTGGTCATGATTTTTTGCTCTCGTGCCACACTGGCAGATGGTTTGCCTCACCAAGTACTTATTAGGGAAAAAAATAAAAAAACAAGGAAATTGTCCAGTATTTTTAGCTTGAAGGCATCTTGGACTCCATTTGTCTTCGTTGCATTACAAAACTCGAGGTATGTTTCACAAAAATACAAAATTTTCTCCGAAAGCTCACACTTCATCGCACACATTTTGAAGAGTACGTAGAAGTTACAAAAAGTAGATACGCGAAATTAACAACGACAACACACCCTATGAATATGTATACCTACTTTTTATTTACAGTTGGTTTTACGCAAGTGATGAGTAAACACAATTGACTAATTTTTTCGTTTGCATTCTTTATCACTTGCTGTCGATGCATCGAATGTAGCTGTTGGTGGGGTGGCGGGATTTTGCAACAAATGAGTAATAACACTTTGGAACCACTTGCATATTTAGCAAGAAAATTATTCCCTACAGAAATGTATTACTCCACATTTGATGCAGAACTTTTAGCAATGTGCAATTCAATTAAACATTTTAAAAATTTTATAGAAGGTAGAACATTCACTGTTTACACTGATCATAACCCTTTCAACACATATTATTAAGTCTAAGTCAGACACATTTTCTCGACAAATTCGACACTTAGAGTACATCGCACAATTTACAGACGACATTCATCACATTTCTAGAAAGGAAAACATAGTTGCTGATACCCTTTCACGTATTCCTGATGTTAACACGATTTTAGCCCAAGACATAAATTTCCAAATATTATTCGAGCAACAACAAAAAGATCAAACACTTCAAACA